GCAGAGCGTGCTAGATTAAAAGAAAAGTGTGCTAGAATTGAAAAAAAGCATTATAAAATGGAATATGAGCATGCTAGATACCAACTACATGAATGATTCGACTCTTTTATGAACTTTGTGCAATAACAATTTTCAGGATGTAATATAGGTGATCCAATAACTCAGGTATTAAATTTAAAAGAATAATTTTTTTATCTATATTATTATTATTATTATTATTATTATTATTATTATTATTATTATTATTATTATTATTATAGTAAATACTTATTTTACTTTATTCAATAAGTTCTTAAACACGCTAGTGATCATGGTGAAAAAATTTTTCCTCTAATTTTAGTGCTCTAACTTTCGACAATTTTCAATTTTATACTTTTTGAATTTCTTATTTTATATAGTTGGAAAACAAGTTGAATTTCATTGTATTAATTTTTACCGTACTCAAACAAGTGATGTATTTAGATATTTAGATGTTTTATGAATTAAGTTTCATGTGTTTCAATACTTTCTTTTGATGTTTAATATAATTGTTGTAGTAATAAATAATAATTTTAAATATTTATTTTCAATTATATAAAAAATAAAAGTAAAACATTAGTGGTGTTTTATATTATAAATGCTACTAAATTCTAGAATTTAGTGACATTAATAGTAACTAAATGCTACTAAATTTCAAAATTTAGCGGTGTTTTATGATATAAACATCACTAAATTATAAAATTTAATAGTGTTTATACTTACAAATGCCACTAAACAAAGAAAATTTATAAAGAATGAATGATGGCTTAAGGCGTTTAATAAATGTTGTTGAATTATACATAAATGCCACTACCATAATGGCATTTAGAAGCAAAACGTTGCTAAATTTTCTTCCACCAGAATAGCAAGTTCTTTTAGCGAAGATTTATTGGTGTTTATAAAAGCCACTAAAAACTTATTTTCATGTGAGTTATTGTGTCTAATTTTATAAGAAATTATATGAGGGTCAAAAAAAAGATGAAAACGTTGGTTTTTATAAAAAAAAAAAAAAAAAAAGTAACATAAGAAAATTCAAAATTACAATCTAACATAATTTTTTTTTTGGCATTTATACAATGAATTATAGAAATAAGACTTAGTTTACTATTGTTGTTTAATACTATTCTAAAAATAATTTTATTATACTTTTAGTAAAATACTCCAAAATTCTTACTACCATAAAATTATAACTATTATTTGGAAAATCTTACTATTAATCGCTTTGATATTCGCACTAACCATTTGATTCAATGATACAGGTGCCAACAAGTGTTTTCTTAAAAAAAAAAAAAAAAAAAAAAACAGATTGGAACATAAAATTTCATAAAATTGATTAAGTAATCATTTTAAGACATAATATTTAACAAATTTATGATTTTAAATTTTAATACATGTAATCTTATTCTCTATATTCAAATTAAGTATCTGTTCGTCTTATAAATTAAAAAAAAAAAAAAATTACTCTGACATTTGATGACAAGATTACAAGGATTTGGTCCACGACTAGACTTGAAAACTTCGTCCTAGTATTGAAGATTAAAAAAAAAAAAAAAACTACAATTTAAAATGATAAAACTATATATAAATTAAGCAATGTGAGAATCGAAGAGAAACATCCAAATTTCAGCTTAATGAGTGATTAACCAATAGTTTAAAACACAATTATACCTTTCATTTGGAAAATAACAACGAAACAAAATAGCTAGGTTAGATTATAAAGATTAAAAGTAACCAAATTTAAGCCTTGTAACAATAAATACAAATTAATTTAGTTAAACTCCACGAAATGACACTTTCAGAAATTTTGAATTTTGATATGTCGGAATGGAGATGACATTTGAGTTTGGACGCATTCCCAAGTTATATAACCTCAGATATTGAATTATAATTCATATACTCATCAAATTAATAATTATTAACAAAGGTCTCATAAAAATTGATGAGGTGATGACCAGTTTATGTCAATTGAGAGATTCATTGATCTCTTTTGCTCTAATTTTTAAATCCAAATCCAAATTCATTAATCATTTAATTTTCCTTCAATCGAAATTTCTCTCCTTCCTTAAACCAAATAACATTAAACTTTTTTAACTCAATGTTTAAAACCATCAACCAAAACCCTACATATACAAGTAAAATGTATCAATCATCCATATTTTTACATAATATTTCATTTTCACTTACAAAATTTTAAACTCAATATTTTGTCAATTATCATTACAATATTAATAAACCCAACCCAATTAATTAACTTTGTCATGCCAACATCCACATAGACTTTCATGTGGTGTTACGGTAGTAAATTTTGTCAAATTTAGATAAGATGATTGAATTTAAAATATATTTAACAGATCACTGTCTAAAAATTGAGTTTTAAATATTGTAAATATGTAAAACAAAATATTATATATATATATATATATATATATATTGCAATCTACTCCTATTCGGGAATTTAATCCTCAATCTCTCAATCAATCAAATAATATATCAATTAATTGGAGTCAATTTGTCCAGTATCCACAATAGTATAGATTCAGAAATGGTTAATATCATATTTAACCCATGTATTTAAAAAATTTTTAAATTTGATACCTTTACTTCTAAAATGTATAATGTGGTATTTGTGCTATCTTTTAAAAAATTAAAAAGCAAACATTTAAAATATTTCTAAAAAATATAAATATAAATTTGAAAACTTTAAAAAAATAAAAATTCTAAAAAAAATAATATTTTTGAAAAATAAAACAAACTTGTTTAACGAGATGAAAAAGTTGTACTTTAATTTTTAAATAAAAAATTTATTTTTTTAAAAGTTTTTCCTTTTCAATTTTTTTTATTTTTTAAAAATAAAAATAATTGAAATAAATTATATTTTAAACAATTATGATATTCGGCGTTTGACACATGACAAAATAATGTGACAAAAATATGGCCCATGTTATCATGTGATCTGATAACAACCATTTTATCATCCTTATTTAAAAGTGTTAATTTCGAGTAATAGATTCTTACATAAAAAAAATAGTACATACATCATATTATACATTTTAGAAGCAAAGACAACAAATTAAAGAAATTTGTAAAATATAGGGATTAAATATGACATTAACCTATTCGAAAACAATTTTATTGTTTGTATAGATTATATCTGGAATGCTTTAAAAATGAAAAATTATCCTATATATAAGTGATGGTGATATGGAGTTTCTAAATACTAGATTAAATTTAAATTAATTATTTTAACTATCTTTCATGGTTATCAGTAGGGGTGTAATCGAGTCGAGTCGAGTCGAATAGTGAGAAGTTCGAGCTCGAGCTCGACTCACAACTCGGAGCTCGATACTCAGCTCGAGCTCGATTGAGTTTTATTTTTCAAGCTTGAGCTCGATTCGTGATCGAATTCGAGCTCACTCGATTAATATGTAAAAATAAGCTTGGCTCGTATACTCGACAAGAGTTCGATTATTCATGCTCGAACTCAAACTCGAACTTGAAATATTTTATTAATTAAAATAATAAAAATATATTTAAATATAAAAGCTTAATTAGGCTCGCGAGCTACTCGAATTAGATATAAGAATATTCGAATTCGGCTCGATCGATAAGTCGAGCTACTCGAGCTCGACTCGATAATAATCGAACCGAATTCGAATTTTTTTCGAATCGAACCTGAATAACTTGCGAGTACTAATATATCATTTACACTCTTAATTATCAGTATTAATTGCACCAACCAATATGCATCGATTTTCTCCGATACAGCTAACACTATTGCTCCATTTCATCTTTTATGCTAACATGAACCAGTTGTTCATGTGGTTATTTCGATCGATCGTATCGGTTGAAAAAAATATTTTCACCTATACAAGATTCTACTCCATTTTTTTAAAAAAATTTTTCTGATTTGAGTTTATAATTAATAGTTATTTCTTTCTCTTTCATTATCATTTTTACTTTTTTATAGTTTTTTGAAAAATAAAATATTTTCTTTAAATTAAACTATTGAATTTGTTTAATGATAATTTATTATATATTCTTATTATTTTATAATTATTTCAATTATTTTACGTTTGAAAATTTAAAATATTAAATATTATATTTTTTTTAATTTTTAATTTTATATGAATATGAATATTATATTAAAATCAATGATTAAAAAATATAAAATTAAAATGTTTTATAATATTATATATATTTAATAGATAAATATTATTTAATTAATATCAATAAAACCCATTTATATTAAAACAAATTAATATTAATACGTTTTATGTTTGAAAAAAAAAAAAAGCTAAAATATTCACCGATGTTAACAACCTTAGTATCAACTCTAAGGGGTCTTATTTTGTTTGTTACATATCGACTAAAGATTAACTTATTTGCAACAAGGTTTAACTGGTAATATCAATAGGAACTCTATTTTGTTGCTCCATTGTCTTTGTCCACCAAATACAGTGGACGGCTACTCGGACCTCTTCTTCTCAACTCCACCCACCAAGTCATAATTGCAATCTTTCTTTTTCCACCAACAAAAAACTAAAGCCCCGAGCTCTATTCTTTCACCTGTTCCTCACGGGCAGCACCATCATAGATGCCCATCTTTGCCCTTTTTCTCCAACTCTCACTTTTAAATAGATATAATAATTCGTGTTTTTTTATATCACGTTTGTTAAACGCGTATAATATATATATATATATATATATAAATATATATTATTTTATAATTTATATTGATATATTAAATATAAAAAATAATTTTATTAAATTAACATACAATTTTTATTAATTTTTTATATTATTTTAATATTGTCTAAAATTACATGATCTACTTTAAAATCCGAAGACCGCTGAACTTTTTCACTTGGGATGGTTTGGTCAGGAGAGAGAAAAACCAACTAATTATATATATACTTCATATAACGGATCAGTTGGTGATAGGAAATAACTGGATAAGGCACACGGCTCCTGTACCGCCTAAGCTAGTATTAGAACGGCAGAATCCCGCAAATAAAACAGAATTTTCCATGTTTCATTTCTTTGCTTCTTCCCTCGTTTAGACCGTCGCCTAAGCATTCCACATGCCTAACCTTGGAAAACCATAATTATCATCTTCTATACAAGTCCCAACCGCCAGTTACATTAAGATGAAGTAATGAAGAACGTTCCGAGAAACAAGTTCTTGCTCTGTTTTAGACCCGTTGCTGATATGGACTTGATGCTCGAGTCCAACGCTCTTGTGGTTGATCGTTCCCAAAATCATCAGGCCTTAACGTATGTTGGCGTTAACAAGAAGGAGGATATGAAGCCTTCAGCGACGCAGTCCTCTGTTTCTGATACAAAAGATTCGATCAGGATTCATCGTCCAGGAAAGAAAACATTTTCCCAGGTGATCAAAGCTGTTGTCTTCGAGATCGTACTGGTTTGTTCCTCTTTCCTTTGTTCTTCTTTTTATCTTCTGATGAAGTGTAGCTGTCATCATTCATCAGTATATCTTATCGACTTATCCTGTTAACAGGATAGGAGGGTTCGACGTAGAAAAGGTATTGATCAAGAATCATATTCATCAAAGCACAATTTCCCATTAAGCAGCCGTGACAAGTTGTTGGATTCAAGTTTTGATGAATCGGTAAACAAGGTTTCTGCTGGAAAAGGAACTGTTTGCAGGTCCAACTCAGTCTCATCAGGATCATCTTGTTCTTCTTCATCATCATCATCATCCTCTTCCCCAAATTCAACTCTAAAAGCAAAGAGACAACAGCTGCAAAACAGCTACAATACTTACAGCAACCATCAAGAAGATGAAAAGAAGACAAAAGAAGAAGGAACAGATAGGGGTTCATGTTCAAACAATGCCATATTTTTGCTTCTCATTAGTCTGGCGGTGACAATCTTCTGTGGCAAATTTTGTGCCATACTTTTCACATCAATTTGGCTATACTTTTTTCCTCAACAACAACCTACAGGAGTTATTGGAAACCTGGAAAACAATAAAAGAAGGCCGGAAAAGAAGTCAAGAGCTTACAAAAAGAAGGTCATTATGGAAGGGCTACTCGAACGCAACCACAACAGAGGGGCATTAAATTTTTGACGTGAAAATTTTCTTTTTCGTGTCTGATGCAAATAGTCTCTCTGTGATTTATCTGATTACTTGTAGGCTACAACTTTAATGGTACATTAAAGTTCAATCAGACGCAAGAGACAAGCCCAGTTTCTTGTGCAGGATTTTATTTTAGTTTTTTCTTATGAGGAGAGGTTTCAGAACACTCGTTGTTCCTTAAATTATTTCATCCCACTTCCCCTGTTCTTTTTCTTATTATTTTTTCTGACAAAAGATGCTAGATAATCAAAAGAAATTGAAAGCAATATAAACTAAATCATAAAAGCAAAAGATTTGTTTCATTAGAAAAAGAAAAAAAAACTAAATCATAAAATCAGCTCTTTTGTATCTTAATTGAATCATCTTAGCATCCAATTAAAGCCTGATATTTGCAATGTTTTCAGACAAATTTGAATGTGCTAGATAATGTTTGGCATGCTACCACAAGGCAGGCAAGCATCACAAGAAACTTGAATCCTGTCGTGCTTAAAAGTACCTTTAGATAATGGGAGTGTTATCCTAGAGCATTGAATCTGGATGAGAAATACTAAGAAAGCATAGAATGATACCCTTGGGAAATTTTTCTTCTTTTACTGATTTATGATTACCCTGTCTTACAGAACATTAAGCATGTATAACATTAGCTTAAGTTAATGTAAAAATACGAATACCTTTTTTCTCCAATTATTCACCATATAATTTCCATGATAATCCACACGCGGAAGGAAATTTTGGTCGTTTTGTGATTCTCAGTCGAGGCATGCATCATGTCCAAGACATCAAGTTTTGGTTAGCATGATGTGGATGATAGAAATTTGTGAGATTGTGTCTAGCTAATTTTGTATAGTTTTGAACCTGCCATTAAGGCGTTACCCCAAGTAAAAACGATCCCATGTTGGATGTTAGTGGCTCCTGCCCATCGAAAATCTATAATAAAAAATAGCAATAATAATAAATTCTCTGTAGCCTTTTGATTACAATATTAATAAATTTTTTTAGTTGAGAAAAAGTATATAAATAAATTAATAATTACGAAAAGGATTTCCATATAAGATTGAAAAAAAGCTGAGAAACCATCAACTTTGAAAGGATTTCCATATAAAATAAATATCATTAAAGAAAAGCGTACGATACTTTAATGCCCCATTGAAAGTTTTGGCAATCTAGTGTTGATGAATCATCATCAGTTTAAGCTTTCAGGAGTAATCCATAATATTAATTTATTACTTTTGTAAAGATGGGAGGAAGGTTTTCCATCAAAATCTATATTTTTTATTGAGTTTTTTACTTTTTTTTTGTTTTTTATTTAAATTTTTTTATTAGATAAATTTTATTAAAAAAATCAATAAAGATAAGATGTTCCACCTTACTCATGGTATATATAAAAATATTTTTTTATTATTTTTTAAATTTATATTTATATTATGAATTATATAAATAAAATTATTATTAATATTTTAATTTAATAAATTCATGTGGTATCATATTTAGCTTCTTTACTTTTATACTATTTTTTAGTTTTTAATTATTTTTAATTTAATACATTTTATAAAAAAAAATTCAAAGATGACAAAACCACCTGTATTCAATGTTTTGATTCACAATGATCCAATTTGCACAATTTTTTAAAAAAGATTTGAGATTGGATTTCTTTTTTTTTTAAAGAAAATTATGTCTAGGTTGGAGTCAATAGAAAGAGAGGTGTCAAAGTAATCTGTATCTAATGGTTTCAATCTATGAGTACAATAAAGATCATTTTTTTTAAATTAGAATCGGGTTAAGGTATAATGATTTATGTTTTTCTAAAATTAAGGTCAAATCGAAAGTGAATTTAGGATATTTTATCACACCTTGTCTCACTTTATCTTGGGGGTATAAATAAATATATATATTATTATTTATTTAATTTTATAAATTATTATTTAATACATTAACTTAATAAAATACTATATTTACATACAATTAAGATGTAATTTATATTAAAAATTATATTTCATCAATGTTATATTGTTGAATTGATTTTTAATCCAGTTAAATTAGATACAAGTTATACATTATATGTCGAGTCAAAATTAAATAAAAAAATAATAATTCGATCATATCACAATTGAGATGAATATAAACTCATCCCTACTAGATCAATACTATCCCTAAGTAGAGTGTTCATATGATATCTTTATTTGGCTCTTCATTTTTTTCCTTTTTGTTTAGGCTTTTATCTTTTAGTTTTATTTTTTTAATTATTTATTTTAATATTTTTAATTATATTTAAAAAAATAAATTTGAAAGAATAGTTTTGGATTTGATTTTATTTGTTATTCAAGTTATAAAAATGGAACGTATACATTACCCATAAATTGGTTAATAAATTTTTATTAATAATTGCTTTTATTCGAAATTTATAAACAAAACTATGCACCGATTTATTAAATTTAATATTATTAACTATAAATAAAAAATTAAATTTGCAATAAAGCACAAGCAAACATATTGCTACTACTATTTATATATATATATATATATATATTATAATGAAATTTTAACATCATCTGCCATGTAAGATGAGTAGTTAATCTTATCAAGAAAGCGAAACTTGTTTACCTAAATAGTTCGTCCATATTTTTTAAAAGATGACTTATCATAAAGTTGATATTTAAAATTCGATCCTGAGAGTTTACAAATTTTCTTTTCTAATTTTTTAGGCCGTTACTTACCGAATATGTATAAAAAAGAATGGTGAATCTGTAAACTAAGTAAATTTACTTCTGTAAATAAGATACATTCGACTTTTAGAGTACCATTTTTTTTTTCCCAAAGTGTACTTCCAGTGCATATAAGTTATAACAATGATTTTTTTAATACTTGATGTTGTAAAAAATCGATCTCCAATCACAAAAATTAAAAATCCAACAATAAATTTTGCTACAACATAAACGAAATATAATTAATGCAATAAAAATTTTTTTTTAGAGAGTTAAATTTTTTTTTTTTTTGTTTTGGAATATAAGACACCTAGATCCCTTTTTTTTTTTTAAACACATGCATTTCATTTTTCAAATTATATATTCTCTCCGTCCTATTTCGTTTACCCATATTTTTTGAAATATTCTAAAATTATATCTTTTTTTAGTAGTTAAAACTCTTACCTTTTATATTTTAAAATTTTTTATGATTTTTTTTATTTTTTAACATTAAAAATTATAAAATATTATTTTATAAAAAATTTTTAAATTTTAATATTAAAAACATTAAAATCAAAACTTTTTTATTAAACTCCATAAAAATCTATTAACACTCAAACAATTTAAAACAGAAAGTTTATTTTATTAATACAATCACGTATATCTTTAACTATATTTGCGTCTAATAACCTTCTAATTGTACAAAAGAATGCCAATGATGCATCACAAGCATGTACAGGAAAATGAAGAAAATAATAGTTTGATTGAGATGTCATCAGCTACCTTAATTGATAAAATCTAGTTAGCTAGTTTGTTAGGTTGTATCAAGAAATATGTGGATTATTCCTGAAAAATAATAAAAAAAGGGACCAACTTTGAATTTCATTCCTATTTGAGGGGTAAATTAATAAATGTTGTATCTATATATAATAGATGTTAGTGCTAAAGTTTGAGAGTGATTGAAGATTATACTTAAAAAGAATTACTTTGTTCCAAATTAATGCGGTTCAGAAAACTATACAAATTTGACATATTGAATTAAGGGTTAGAAAGAGTGTTTTCAATAAGAATTGGAAGGATTGCCTCTAAATTCACTTTAGTGCTACAATATCAATTGAATCTTTTTTTTCAATAAGAACCAAAACCTGTTTTTAGCTTATACATAACAACTGAAAACGATGTTAAGAAAATGTTAATGTAATATTTTGTAATAATGTAATCAAATATAATATTAGAAATTATCTTACTGTAATTAAATAATATATAAAATTATGATACAAGAACGATATTTTATATAACTTTTTTTTTTTAATTAGTGAGAGTTCTCTGTATATAAATAAGAGACTTTTGTATAATATTTTCTCAAAAGATAGTGAATACATAATTGTTTCTCTTCTAATAGATTAAAAAAAGACATTAATGGAAAAAAAGTTATTTTTCTTTTTTTTTAAATTGAGAGGAAAATTTGCTTTAATATATGGTATAATAATGTTTTTAAAAGTGGGTAAAGTGCACTGTAGTCCCAAATATTTCATTTGGGTTCTATTTTCACCCTTAATCTTTAACTTATTTCATGATAGTCCCAAACCTTTTTAAAAGCGTGTCAATATGGCCCCTCTAAATAAAAATAAGAGCAAATTACAATTCAGCTTAAAAGATTCATAATTATTACTCTTTACAACCATATCGGAATGTATTTGTTATAAAGGAAATAAAATTTATAAAATTTTTTAGAAGGAAAAGAAAGTATAATTTTTTTCTTTAATTCTAAAAAATTAACTTAAAATTGAGGGTAAAATGGTACTTTAGTTTCCTTTAGAATAATTATAAAATTTTTATTTTTTTAATAAATACATTTAAGTATGATAGTAAAAAGTAATAATTTTAGATCCATTATCTTGATTTTATTATTTTATTTTATTTTATTAAATTTTATTTCCTCAACATTTACAAATTTTAACAATAATATAAAATTAAATCCTATTAAAAATAAAGTTGGAATTTTTTTTAAGAAAAAAGAAAGAAGTAAATGATAGAGTTTCTTTAATCGTGCAAATTAAATCTTAACTTTGAAGTCTTAAAACAAGATGATTCTCATAATTTTTTTATTTAAATAGAAGTTATACCTTAATGCATAACTAACTCCTTAAACAATTTTTTTATTAAATGCAGCTTCTCTGACTTACCCTTTTATTTTTCTTTACATACTCTCTTGATGGATAGAAAGCATCATTTTATATAGGTAGAGAAAATAGCGTTTTTTTATTTCTTTATTTAATTCATACTATTCATCAAAGTGTGATTTATTAACAAAACTCTCATTGTTTTAAACAAGACTTTTATTTTAATTATATTCATTAAACAAATCTTTTGTTTAATTGATCAATAAGAGTTTAATAACATTCAGTAGTTATTAAACTACAATAACTCAACTTATTTACTTAAGATATAAAAACCACAAGCAAA